TCGGAGGCTTTGAAATCAGCTCGTCAAAAATTCCAGTCAGTGGAATCTGAGGCATCGGAGAGCTCAGAGTTATTAAAAGGGAAGCTGGAGGGATATTACTGAAAAGTCGCTGAGTCGACTAACGAGCGGATACCCCAACGTTGCGTGTGGCGCCCTCCCTCTTATGGGGTCGGCTACTCCGATGCCGTTGGGGTCACTCAAACCCCCAGAACTGAGCCTCTACTTTAATCAATCCTCTTTGGTGTAAACAGTATCCCTGAAAAATTGTCATTCAGAGTTTTTATTTCGATTTTACAATCAATAATTATTCACAATGAAGACTCGAAGGGATCACAAACTAAAAACAGCTCTCAAAGTGAAAAAAGAGGCGAAAACTGGCGAGTCTTCCCTCAAAAAAGCTGTGAAGAACGTCAAGGAAATATTGAAGGTGAGGATTTCACGTGTTCGCATAACCTATCATGTTCGACATAGAATCAGAATTTTTGGAAATATATTTTTTAAAGAACAATTAATTGATTAAAATAAACACAAACTTCATAATTTTCAAGCGATCGAGATTTACCGAACCAAAAATTCATTATTCTGTTCTTAAAATATTTCCATCTCTAATTAAAAATTTATTAATTACTCCAGAAGGATACGAAAAAGAGGATAAATACTGTTGTCAAGAAAGAGACAAAGCCAGTGTTGAAGAGACTAGTGAAGAAAGATAAAAGCCAGAAGAAGCAGTCACATGATTTTATTAGAGTTGATGAGAGTAAGGAGAAGCTGTTAAAAAAAACTGCTGTAAAAAAAGAGTTTGGAGGTGCGAAGCAAGAAAGAGGATTGATATACATTGGACATATTCCACATGGATTTTACGAGGAGCAGATGAGAGGATATTTCTCGCAGTTTGGAAAAGTGACACGAGTTCGAGTGTCCAGGTCTAAAATCGTATGTTCAACTCCATAAACCACTTGCTTTCATCATAATTTTTAAATGACAAATTACTTTATTCATCAATTATTATTTCAACAGACTGGACGCAGCAAAGGCTACGGTTACGTCGAATTCCTCCACCCAGAGGTGGCGAAAATTGCTGCGGAATCCATGAATAATTATCTGATGAGTGGAAGACTCGTGAAAGGTAATTTAATTAGTAATTTCTTTGAATTTATATTCATGAGAATTATTTCTCGCTCTCAGCTGAATATATACCACCGGAGAAGCAGCACGGGGGCTACTTCAGGGGTTTAAACTGGAAAATCGGTGGCCATCCAAAATTAAAAACCCGAAGGAAAGCGATTCAGAATGCCAATGGGCCAATAACACAAGCTGACCACAACAAATTCCTGAAAAAAACCGTAGGAAAACTCTCAAAGCTCTCCCAATTGCTGAAGAACGAGGGAATTGATTTCAAGATGAAGCTAGGCGATGTAGAAATTTAAATACATGTTCATAAATTTTATTTGGCATTTGGAGCTACATTAATTATCCTTAAGTAAGTGCTTATACATATTCCTACATTAGAATTTCTCCAGAGCTGTTTGAGTTTGATTCCATGAGTGAAGACGAATCGATGGTCTTTTTCTTATCCAGGACATTTTTCGTTCGTTTCCATTTCATTCTACGATTTTGAAACCAAACTTTCACCTGAAAAAAATAAATCGTAGGTATTTTGTAACGTAAAATTGCCTTTCGGGCATTTTTACAAATCTGTGAATATATTTTTTTATATCAGAAATAAATGATGTTGAAATATTGAAATGGATATCACCTGTCTCTCGGTTAAATCAAGGGCCACCGCAATTTCATATCTCCGGAGTCTCGTTAAATAATTGCTGTGTCCAAACTCAAATTCTAGATGACGAACCTGTTGCTTTGTAAATGCTGTCCTCTCCTTCCTCGGTTTAACTTCACGACTCTTTCCACTGGTTCTCACATCTGAGGGAACAAAAACAAAACCCTGGATCTAGATCTAGATCTCCAGAAGAGCCGACTAACGACAGCGGCATGGACCGAGTGACGTAATTGTCTTATGAATAAAAAAAAATAGATGTTATTCGCGGGTGTTTGCTAGCTCATCGCTGGAGCTCATGTCTGCGGGAATTATTTATCACACGAGAGAATTACTGAAAGAAATTCTCTCGTAGGATATAAAAAAAATAATAACAGGGTAAAACAGTAAAAGGGAAAAACAGTAAAAGGGAAAAAGAAAGGGCCATTTTTTTTTTATAAATTAACTGTTCAATGTTGCATTCGTGTCTCGAGAATTCAATCCGATCCCTGGGAATTTATCCCGGAAGGAAAGTTGCTGAATGATAAAAAAGAGAGTGAGGCACTTGATCGAGACGTAAACAAGTCCCAACAATTTTCCCATTTGATCTCGTCTATATTATATCTCGTCTTAATTAT